CTACTACTATCACTGCTACTACTACTGCTACTACTACTACTACTGCTACTATACTGCTACTACTGCGACTACTACTACGACTGCTTCTCCTACAGTTGCTGTCGCTGTTGCCGTTGCGGTTGTTTGCTGTTGCGTGCTGTTAATTGCTGTACGTTGTTGCTTGTTGTGGTTTGTTATGAGTTGTTGTTGATGTTGTTGCTGCTATTGTAGAAGAAGACCCCCTGAACCTAAAGCACCTTGTAAACATCAAAGCCTAATGCTTCAATCCCAGGACCACCTCACACCTGCAACTTCAACCCCAAATTGTAAAACCGCCAAACCCGGAAACATTATTCCCCATGTGGCACCGCGACACCACTGCAAAGCTTGACAGGTTGTTCTGCTGAAGCCCCTCGTCCAGCCAGGGGTGGCGTCCAAGGCTTCGGTGGGAAATCGGGCTTCTTAAGAGGGCCTCAATAGGGGTTAGGGTTAGATACGATATACCTTAAATCCTAAACCTTAATAGGATGTAGGGTTAGATAGGATTTACCCTAAACCCTAAACCTTAATAGGGTGTAGGGTTAGATAGGATTTACCCTAAACCCTAAACCTTAATAGGGTGTAGGGTTAGACAGGATTGACCCTAAACCGTAAACCTTAATAGGGTTTAGGGTTAGCTAGGATATGCACGGTTTTAAAGGTACATTGGTTCGTCTTGAGACAGCCTCTAAGCCCTGAACCTCACATCCGAAGCCCTGCACCTGCAGACCACACACCCTGAGCTTAAACCGCGGGGTTTTAGGACTTAAGGCAAGTCCTATTTAGCCCTAAACCCTATTAAGGTTTAGGGTTTAGGGTAAACCCTACCTAGCCCTAAACCCTATTAGGGTTTAGGGTTTAAGGTCTCGGGCTCGGTGTTTAGGATCTGAGAGTCTGCGGGTGTTAGAAGCGTTTGAATATGGGGTTTTTATACTCTAACCCTAAGGGTCCAAGTACCTAATAATCATATACTCTTTTGAATACTAACCTACAAAACTACTATCCGTAACCCAAGTACATGATTATTAGGTCCTTTGGACTCTTAGGGTAATTATACTTTACAAGACCCCAACACCTACTAAGGCCCCTACATTAATCAGGTTTGCTGAGGGAGTTTAGAAGCTGCGTCAAGTGTTTTTTTTTTTTACGGCATTGGCTTGAAGGGTTCAATTCATGGTTTTAAACTTGAACCGCGTACGGAGCCCTTATAGGATCCCTAAACCCTGGCACCCTAAAGCCTAACCCTTCTAGAACCCCGAAACCCTAAACCCTAAGCTTTGTAGGAACTCTCGAGCCCTGTACCCTAGCCCTCAAGCCCTAACCCTGAAACCCTACACCCGAACCCTTAACGGAGCCCTTAAAGGATCCCTGTAAGGAATCCCTTAGAGGGATTTGTTTGAAGGATCCCTCTAAAGGATCCCTTTAAAAGATGCCTTTAAAGCATCTCTTTAAAGGATCCCTTTAAAGGATCTCTTTAAAGCATCCTTTCAAGGATCCCTCTAAAGGATCCCTTGAAAAGATCCCTTTAAAGGGTCCCTTTAAAAAGGATCCCTTTAAAGGATCCCTTGAAAAGATCCCTTCAAAGGGTCCCTTCAAAAAGGATCCCTTTAAAGGATCCCTCTAAAGGATCCCTTTAAAAGATCCCTTTAAAGGATCCCTTCAAAAGGATCCCTTTAAAGGATCCCTCTAAAGGATCGCTTTAAAAGATCCCTCAAAGGATCCCTTTTAAAGGATCCCTTAAAGGATGGAGCCGAAGAGCCCCGGCAGCATGCACTCCGGATGCAGGCCTTCGTCGCCCTGAGCCCCGGAGACCTCTTGGAGATGATCAGGCGCGTTTAGGGTTTAGGGCTTTCAGGGTTGAGGGTTTAGGGCTTTCAGGGTTTGGGGTTTAGGGTTGAGGGTTTAGGGTTGAGGGTTTAGGGTTGAGGGTTTAGGGTTTAGGGTCGACTTTGAATGTGGCATCAAGGGCTCCTTCAAGGGGATTTAGGGTTTAGGGTTTCAGGGCTCCTTTGAGGGGGTTTAGGGTCTAGGACCAACCTTTTTAACTTTTCTGGGTTTCTACAGCTTAGTAGCAATCTGCGGCTTATTGGGGAAGCAAGCTTTTGCATAAAGGGCTCCTGTACGGGTTCTTACCTAACCTTGAGGGGTCAGGGTTTCCTAGGGTATTGCAGAGCCTTTACTTGCGGGGCCAGAAGCTTTGCGAGGGCGTTTTGGTCTAGTGGTTTACGGCTCCCTAAACCCTAAACCCTACCTCAAACCCTAAACCCTGAACCCCAAACCCTAAACCCTAAACCCTAAACCCTAAACCCTAAACCCTAAACCCTTACCTCAAACCCTAAACCCTGAACCCCAAAAACCCTAAAGGTTGAGGCTTTCGGCTTTCGGCTTGTCTTTGTCACTGGGGCAGTTTCCGTTTAGAGCAGTCTTTGTTTACAGAGGGTTTTCAGAGACTTGCATTGTGTGAAGCTTGCTACTTGGTGTGTTTAGGGCTTCGGGCTTAAGGTTTAGGGTTTAGGGTTTAAGGTTTATAGGGTTTACCCTAAACCCTGAACCCNNCCCTAAACCCTTTAGGGTTTAGAGTTGAACACCTGCAAGGGAAGCCCGACGCACGGAGCAGTGGCGCGAAACGACCCGTGCCCTCTGCGCGACGCTGCGGTGCCCCTCCGAGACCTGGCTAAAGGCTGCTAATGGCTGGTTTAGGGTTTAGGGTTT